CCTGAGGAGCCTCAGGAATGAGCGGCTCTGCTGTCTGTTGTGGCGCTTCCCTTGCACTCGGCTGGGTTTCTTTTGCTGGGTGTGAATCAGGAGCGGGGTTGGGAGGAGCAGTAGGAAGAGGAGGAGAATCTGGAGCAGAGGGGACGGCAGTCGAAGGGAACACAATAGCTGTGGCAGGAGAAGGAGCGACAGGAGGAGCAGAAGTAGCAGTAGTCTTAGGGGAGGTAGGGCAGGCGTTGGTGGTGGGGATACCTGCACTGCATGTTCTGGTGTCGCACGACGATGCATTGTGAGGTGTGCCCGTGCATGCTTCAGCAACACACGGTTGATGGCTGTATGGTTGATTGTTGCTTGGCTCGAGAGACCCTGATTGACCTGTTGACCGTGTTTCTGCTGCTGCCGCTGCTAATGATGGTTGTGGTGTTGCTTCTGATGCTTTTAATGATGCTGTCACTGAATCTGCTGCTGCTGGTGCTGCTGCTGGTGCTGCTGGTGGTGCTGGTGCTGCTGCTGCTGGTGGTGCTGGTGCTGCTGCTGCTGGTGCTGCTGGTGGTGCTGGTGCTGCTGCTGCTGGTGCTGCTGGTGGTGCTGGTGCTGCTGCTGCTGGTGGTGCTGCTGCTGCTGCTTCTGCTGATCTGGCTCCTGTTGCTGCTGCTGCTGTTGTCGCCGCTGCTGTTGCTGGAGAGCAATCTAATGGATGCTGTGAGATGGAACGCGGTTGTGCTGGGTGCGCCTGGGAAATGGGTTCGGCCACAAGGCACCCTACCAGCTGCCTCCCGCTTATGTACAGATATGCCTGTGGGGGGAGAGAGGGACGGAGAACGGAGAAATGCATGAGTTGACTCAAATGCACGAGAAATGAGTGCCACGTGGAATGTAACCTGCTAATGCTGGGTGCGCCTGCGAGATGGGTTTGGTCACAACAAGGCACCCCACCAGCTGCCACGTGAAGAGAGGGTATTTTTGAGACGTCTCAAAAATACCCTCTCTTCACGTGCTGGGTGCGTCTGCAAGATGGGTTTGGTCACAACAAGACACCCCACCAGCTGCCACGTGAAGAGAGGGTATTTTTGAGACGTCTCAAAAATACCCTCTCTTCACGTGCTGGGTGCGTCTGCAAGATGGGTTTGGTCACAACAAGGCAACCCACCAGCTGCCACCAGGGTATTTTTGAGACGTCTCTTCACGTGCTGGGTGAGCCTGCGAGATGGGTTTGGTCACAACAAGGCACCCCACCAGCTGTGTCCCACAAACGTACAGATACGCCTGTGGGTGTGGGAGAGCGGGAAGAGAGAGAGAGAGAGAGAGAGAGAGAGAGAGAGAGAGAGAGAGAGAGAGAGAGAGAGAGAGAGAGAGAGAGAGAGAGAGAGAGAGAGAGAGAGAGAGAGTTGGGAGAAGAGGGACGAGAAATGTTGAGTTCACTTTTGAGAATCCTCAAAAGGAAACTCAACAAGGATGGAGAGAGGGACAAGAAATTGGGAAACGCTCTATATAAAAGCCTCGTTATGATATCACTTGAAATGTGCTCATGCTGGGTGAGCCTGCGAGATGGGTTCGGCCACAACAAGGCACCACACCAACTTCCTCCCAGGGCGTGCAAATACGCCAGTGGGGGAGAGAGGGACGACTCATGGGGAGAGTGTGTGGGGAGGGGGACGACTCATGGGGAGAGTGTGTGGGGAGGGGGACGACTCATGGGGAGAGTGTGTGGGGAAAGGGGGACGACTCATGGGGAGAGAGTGTGGGGGAGAGAGGGACGACTCATGGGGAGAGTGTGTGGGGGAGAGAGGGACGACTCATGGGGAGAGTGTGTGGGGGAGAGAGGGACGACTCATGGGGAGAGTGTGTGGGGGAGAGGGGGACGAAGAGTGGGGAGAGCTGAAGGGTTTAGGGTGGGGAGAATTCTCAAAAACACCCTTCAGCATCGAAGGGTGGGGAGAGCGTGTACTATGGTGGGTGGGAGAGGAGAGAGAGGAGAGAGAGATGCTCAAGGCACGTTCACTGCCACACAGGCAGCCAGCTGGTTCTTGCAAGTATGTCCAGATCTGCTTAAAGGGGCAGGAGCAGCTTGAAGCATTTTTTGAGGCGCCTCAAAAAACACTGCCACATGGGCAGCCAGCTGCTTCTTGCAAGTATGTCCAGATCTGCTTAAAGGGGCAGAAGAGGAGCGGCTTGGAGTACAAGCACCCTTCAACCCACCCACCCAATTGTTGCATACCTTCCACTGCCCGCCCAGCAGCCATGTGCGACTCACATCACACCCATGGCCCTCTTTTACAATCTCAACTGTGACCTGTCGCCTTGTTCACAGACCGCACACGCACCTCTCAAACCACTCACCCCCCCTGTTGCTCACCTTCCACTGGCCGCCCAGCAGCCATGTGGGACTCACACCCATTGCCCTCTCCAACACTCCCACTTGAAGCTTGCCACTCTGTGTTCCAGAGTGCACAGCTTGAAACCATCCCTCATAACACCCCCTGTTGCTCACCTTCCACAGGCCGCCCAGCAGCCACGTGGGACTCACACCCATGGCCCTCTCCAACACCACTGCTATTTCCTGCATCTGAGGAGTGTGAAGGGCATGAAAGGGCGAGAAGAGGAGAGGATGCAGAAAGAGAAAGGTAAAAAGGCAAGTTCCTAGTGGCTGTTGAATATTTTTCTGCTGCGTATGGCGCCAGGCACGCACGTGCTGCTCAACACTGCGCTGCACTGCTCTGCACTGCACTGCACCGCAGTGCACCACAGGCTGTCAAGCGCGGATCCACTCTCACCTTCGCCATCTGCAATGGTATGTGCACTCTGCATGGGTGAGTAGCACAATTTGCCGATGCGGTTCATGCGGAATATGCTGCACTCCCTTCGCTCCCTCTAATTCATGCGATTCTGCTCATCAACTCACCTTCTGCTCCCTTGGCGCATCAACTCACCTTCGCCAACTGCACTGCTGTGCGTGCACCCTGCGTGGGTGGGCACGACTCACGCTGCAGCACTCCCATCACTCCCTGCAATCCCTCCAACCCCTGCAATTCCGCTCATCAACCCACCTTGGCCAGCTTCACCGCAGTGCACTCTGCATGTGTGAGCAGCACTGTTCGCGCTGCTGCACTCCCTTCGCTCCCTGCGCTCACCTCCAGCCCCTGCAATTCTGCTCAGCAACTCACCTTCTGCTACCTTCACTCATTGACCCACCTTGGCCAGCTGCACCGCCGTGAACTCTGCATGTGTAAGAAGCACAATTCGCGCTGCGGCACCCCCTTCGCTCCCTTCACTCTCCCCAATCCCCCATCACCTCACCTTCTGCTCCTTTCGCTCATCATCTCACCTTCGCCATCTGCACTGGTGTACATTCTGCATGGGTGAGTAGCACAACTCGCCCTGCTGCACTCCCTTCTCTCCCTGCAATCCCTTCACTCCAATCGCTCCCCTTAATCCCTGCCATTCGCTCATCACCTCATCTTCTGCTCCCTTACCTCACAACTCACCTTCGCCGTCTGCACTGGTGTACATTCTGCATGGGTGAGTAGCACAAATCGCCCTGCTGCAATCCCTTCACTCCAATCGCTCCCCTTAATCCCTGCCATTCGCTCATCACCTCATCTTCTGCTCCCTTACCTCACAACTCACCTTCGCCGTCTGCACTGGTGTGCATTCTGCATGGGTGAGTAGCACAACTCGCCCTGCTGCACTACCTTCACCCCCTGCGCTCCCTGTGGTCCCTGTAACAGTATGCACCACCCGCTCGTTCCTCCAACCCTGCACACAAGCGCAGAGTCGACGAGTACAGAGCGGAAATGGAAAGCTCTTTTATGCTACACAAGCTTCTCATGTGACTTCGGAGAGCTTTCTCATGTGATTAAACAGACACCATGCTGCTCCGTTGGTCCCTGTAACAGTGTGCACCACCTGCTTGTTCCTCCAGCCCTGCACAGGAGCGCAGTGTCAATGTCAAGTCAAGGAGGTACAGAGCGGAAAGAGAAGACTTTTGAGAAGTCTAAAAGATGAGTGGGTACAGAGAGGAAAGAGAAGGCTTTCTTCTGCTGCCCTTGTTTCTTGTCGCACTCACGTGCCAAAATCTCAACGAGTACGACAGTGTTCCTTGTCGCACTCCCTCCACATCCTCCTCTCTCATCTGCGTGGCACCAGCGTTCTTCACACGAGCCTGTGGCATGCATTAGCTTAGCCGCACTGCTACTTCTTTGGAAGGGGTCTCAAAAGCTGTCACTCTACAATTTTATGTCATTTCTAAAAATTCTCAAAGACAGCCTGTGGCATGCATTGGCTTAGCCGCACTGCTGCTTCTTAAGCTCCACTTTTCCAATCTGCACCAACCCACACACGTGCACGTTCTGAGAACACCAACACCCGTTCCAGAATAAAATCGAACCCATCATCCCTTCCAAAGAAGTACCTCTCTCTCTCACACACACCGACCACACCACCGCGTGCCATCGTCACACCGCCCTGCGCCACCTCATCCGCATTGAGGTGACTTTTGCGTCGACTAAGTGACTTTTGAGTTGACTCAAAAGTCACCTCACACCGCCCTGCGCCACCTCATCCACATTGAGGTGACTTTTGAGTCGACTAAGTGACTTTTGAGTTGACTCAAAAGTCACCTCACACCGCCCTGCGCCACCTCATCCGCATTGATCTCCCCTCGACGGACACGAAACACGGACGGTCACAGACCCCACCACCGCCTCCCCCCCTCACTTGAATGGTCACAGTCCCACAGAGCAGCCTGTGATATGCGTCGTGCGCTGCTTCATCCGCCTTACGACCCTTGGCTTGCACCAGCCCGCACACCTGGCACTTGTCTCATGTCTCACTAGTTTGGCCAACACTACAGCACCCCCCCTCTCACCCAAACGGTGACAATTCCGCAGAAGAGCTTGTGGTGTGCGTCGTGTGCAGCGTCGTCTGCTTAAAGCCCATTAACGAACACGAACCCGCACACCTGGCACGTGCAGTGCAGCAGATCCCTGGTCTAGGCGTCCCTACAGCACCCCTCCTGTCACCTGGATGGTCACAGTCCCACAGAACAGCCTGTGATGCGCCTCGTGTGCAGCCTCGTCCGCCTTGAGTCCCTTGGCGAACACCAACCCGCACACCCGGCACGTGCAGTGCAGCAGGTACCTTTTCTGGATGGCATGAAAATGCTCCTTCCCAGAAAAAGTACCTCCCTCCTCCCCTCTCACCTGGACGGTCACAGTGCCACAGAACAGCCTGTGGTGTGCATCGTGTGCAGCCTCGTCCGCCTTGAGCCCCTTGGCGAACATGAATCTGCACACCCTGCACGTGCAGTGCAGCAGGTCCCTGGTCTAGGCAGCCGTACAGCAACCCTTCTCACCTGGATGGTGACAGTGCCGCAGAACAGCCTGTGGTGTGCCTCATGCGCCATCTCGTCCGCTTTAAGCCCCTTGGCGAACATGAATCCGCACACCCTGCACGTGCAATGCAGCAGGTCCTTCTGCCCAAAGTCCAAGCATGCCTGCACCTGCCTCCGCTGCTGCTGCCGCCCCCGCTGCTGCTGCTGCTGCTGCTGCTGTTCTTCCTGCTGCTGCTTCTCCATCTGTTTCTGAGCCTCGCTTTGAGCTCTTGGCTGCTCCTCCTGCGATCGCAGCAAGTCCGCCTGCTCTTGCCCCTCGTGCACCAACCCCTGCCGCTCATTCCCAGCACGCACTTCAAGCTTCTGCTCCTGCTGCCCCGCCTGCTCTCGCCCCTGCTCCAGCCCCTGCTGCCCCGCCTGCTCTCGCTCCTGCTCCAGCCCCTGCTGCCTCGCCTGCTCTCGCCCCTGCCGCTCCTCAGTGCTCCTCTGCTCGCCCTCGCCTATGCTCGCCTCTGCCTTGCGCTTCAGCTTTGACTTCCTCAGCCGTTGGATCTCGTAGTCATCGCCCACGCGAGGCACATCCGACGGACACGATGCTCCGCCTAACCTCTCCTTGCCGGAGCCATTCCCCTGCCTTAACCAGGAGGCCAACGTGGAGGTGCCACGCGGACGCTCTCCTGATGTTGATGGTGCAGGAGCCGAAACGATTTTGAAGTCCGTGATGGTAGCTGTTCTCCTCCTAGGCAACCCCAAGGCACATCCACTTGGAATAGTTGCTGCTGCTGCTGTTGCTGCGGCTGCTGCTGATGCGATCGACTTTTTGGTTGTAAAGTCGTTGGACAACTCAGGAGAATCGCCAGGTGATTTGCCAACAATGCGGCCTGCTGTGAAGCTGCCTGGAAAATGCCGAAGCGCATCCCTGCTCCTGAAAGCCGGCCGTCAAGAGGGGTGAGAAACGATTTGAACATGTTGGACGCGATACAACCTAGAAAATGGTGCGTGTGTAAAGGGAGCTGACAGGCATGGCTATGTGGAAAGAGTGGTTTCAAGGAAACGAAGGCCCGTGAATTCCTCCCGCAGTCAGTCATAACCCAATTAACAGATCGTCCGCCGTCTCACATGCCATTTCTCACATCCGCCGTCAGCTCACACTTACCCGCCGTAAGCCGTCACTCACCCGCCGTCAGCTATCACTCACCCGCCGTCAGCTATCACTCACCCGCCGTCAGCCTTCACTCACCCGCCGTCAGCCATCACTCGACGGAACCTCCTATACGTGACAACGCGCGCCGTCGCTCGAATCGGCTCCTCACACGTGGCCGACGGCGGCGCGTCGCAGCGGCGATCATCCGAGCCCAAACTCATCAACTCGCGACCCGGCGAGTCGCATGCGCTCCCAACTCTACACGATTCGCTCCCAAAGTCACACGAGGGGGACTTCTCAGGCATCGGATGCATCGGAGCACCGGAGGATCGGGGTGGATTCTGAGTCAACTCTAACGATTTCTCACGCAACGACTCCGCCGCATCAACGCATCGCCTCAACGCGACCGTGCGCTGAGCCGCTTGAAGTGGACACGATCTGGAATCTCGGCTACTAGGAAAGGGATTGTCATTATGACCAGAATGAGGATTTTCGGAAGTTTCAAGCAGTTGGATCTGGCATGTTGGAGCGCCGTGGCACTGAGCCGGGCTTGTACGCGCGGGGTCAGCGGTCGACGGCTTGAGTCGCTTCACCCACGAGTCCAGCGTTCCACGCCGCTCGACACTCTTTTTCTCCCCAGCTTCCCGCTGCTTCTGCTTCGATGATTCCTTTGACAATCCTAGGCTCGACGAAACCAGGCTTGACTTCTTGAGGCTCGGCGATTCGATTGGCGAGCCGAGGCTCGAGTCCACGGCAGAACGCCTTATCGCTTCCCCATTATTCCCTCCGTCCGAGCCTGACATTGAGGATGCGTTACGGATCTCCGCGGGGGGGTTTTGAGGCGCCTCAAACGCCGCTGAGGATGCTTTCAGCTTCTCCGCACGGGCCTCGGAATTGTCTGTGTTTCTGCCGTCTAATCGATGGCACAGAACAAACGACATCACGTTCTCATTAAGACGGATGATTGCGGGCTGGAAACCGAATAGAAATACAAAGCTCTTTGATACGTGTATCTGTCAAACGCTTCTGATCAGCTCAGTGAGAGGACGTGTACAGGCTACGTGCTCGTGGCGTCGAGGAAAGCTAAATGTGGACTGAGAAACTAGTAACGGCTTTGGTTGTATTTATCGAACCCTTATCTCGGGATTACTTCAATGCGACGGAAAGCGGCGGTTAGATAGTGGCGACACCTCACTGGAGAAAAAAAAATGCCCTCCGTCCTATCTCCGATTTTCACGCTATCTCTGGCTCCTCACCCAGAGTGAACGGTTACAGCACTCCAGTCAATTCTCCCTAAGTCGTGAGTCGTGACAATCATCAGTAATAGGAGCAATAGGAGGAATAGGAGCTCAATTCGTAGAAGCAGGAAACCAGGCGGGATCGAACAGCAACGGAAACGTTGTGGAACTCACTAAGGGCAGATCCACAACGTCACTCCAAGGTGGAAACCCTTGGGATTGCCCAGCATTCACACTGCAGTTGTAACGTAAGATTCGAATTGAGGTTTCGTCAAAGTAATACGAAAGCCATCAGTATGGGGCCACAAAGAACATGGCGAGCTCCATCCGAGTAAATCGAGTTCGTCTATGTTCGTTCAAAACTTCGTAACAACTTTGTACTCGTGGTAGAAGCATTTGTCTCCGGTGCTTTTCTGTGACCAAACTTCACAATTGGGAACCCTCCCTGGGAATGTTCTTGTAAACATCAACATGCGACACGGTTTCAAAATTCTGAATAAACCTCGTTAGTGAAACCTCGACTTCAGACAAAGTATGACAACGAAACAGAGGCACCTTAGTTCAGGGACAGGAGCTACATAAGTGAGGATATGGTGTTTTTGGCCTGAGGAATGAAAAACCAGGTGGTAGCAAAATCAACCAGGCAATCAGTAGACATCGATAGTTTGTAAATCAATGAGGCCAAGCAGTGTGTGTGTAAGTCAATGAGCCAAAGAAGTGAGGGCGTAAGTCGATATACCAAACACTAGGCTGCTCAAAGAGCAGAGGGTGGTAGGCGGGGAGGGGTAGGGATTGAAAAAATAAATGTTTGGAACCACGGTTTAGTATACATTTATGAAAAATGTATACAAAGCTTAGAAAAGAACCTGTAAGAGGGAAATATGTCACGGAAGAGAAAGAGATGCACCACATGCAGCTTATTTCAGAGTAAGCAAAGTAACTTTTTTCAGGAGCAACAGCAGTGCAGCAACGCTTATTCAGTACGAGATTGAACTTCCACTTCATAACACGTAAACATCCCCCTACTGGTACCTCCTCTGCGTCACACACCTGTTCTTCTGCCTGTCCCAGTTACTCTGAATCAGAAACCTCATCTTCAACCCAACGAGATTATACTCGTACGTTCCGCCTCGGCTGTCCTGACCCTTTTTCGTCTTACAAAATCTGAAGAGCACTTGTCCGCATTCTCTGCATCTGTGTCGTCCATCCATCCCTGTTGTAGAGGCGTGTCCTCTAGTTGGCAGGAACTGGGATTTCCACTAAATGATAGAGCACTCTGCTGGCTTTCCAACGAGCCGTCAAACACACGATTCGCCCAAGTAACGAGGGAGTTCTTGGCGTTTATGTGCTTGCTAGTGCTCTTGGAACGTTGGCTAGGAGCTCTCTGGAATTTGTAGTTGAATGCACTTCACACAAAGTGATTCACAATGTTCACTATGATGCATGCAATACAAAGCAACACAATTTTATATGAACTGCAAACATCGAGTCGCACATGTAACCTCGAACCGCGGTACACTCGCGAATGTTCGAGTAACATTTCGAAGGGGTGAAATTCGACTCTCGAATTTCACCGAATCGAATTCTCCCTGAGTCTCGATTCTTCTTGTGTTGCCATGTGGAACCGAAGTGCAGGTTCTTCCGAAGTCAATCCCAACTTCTTGGAACCTGCAACAAATTCGGTGGGTTGGGGGCATACAACCACCCCACCACCACTTGCTTCAACCACACTCAACCTCCATCACTCCCCCTTGCACCCAACCCACTAGGTGTGCAATCCATCATGCTCGTAGCACGTACGGGATGGATTTTTAGGGGGTGGTTCCATGAGAGGTTCCGCTTGTTCATCATCACCCTTGGTTGCGAAGCAAAATGTCGTGCCCTCCTTATCCGTCTCCCCAACGGCTACCGTAGCGTAGTCTTTGTACTTGGGGGGAGGACGAACTTCACGACGCCCGCGGGTCAAGGCCAATGGTAGGGAGGTAGGTGTGGAGGTAGTTGCCGCCTCGGTAGGTGACACCTCCACGACATCATCAACGCTCTCCTCGTTGTCCTCTCCCCCTCCATCTTCGGCTTGCTTCTCCACTTGGGGTGGAGACTCACTCTCTTCAACCTCCTCTCGAGACGGAAGGATGAAGGTGACTAGTTGAGTGGGTTGCTCCTTCGACGGGAACTTGTCTTCATCGAAGACCACATCCCGAGATGTGACGACACGCTTGTCACCCAAGTCTCACACTCGCCATGCACGCTCATTTCCCGCAATTCCCAAGAATATCGCCGCACGAGCCTTCGGTTGCAACTTGTGGCGAAGAGGATCCGGGACATGGTAGTAGCAAAGGCATCCAAAGGTGCGTAGGCGGGATAGGTTCGGCTTCGTTCCGGTCCATGCTTCGAACGGAGTCGTTCCCGGGAGCACCTTCGTCGGCAAACGGTTGCGAATCCACGCCGCTAGCGCACTCGCCTCTCCCCACCACTCGCTCCCAAGCTTGGAGTGTTGAAGTAGTGAACGAACGGCTTCCACCAACGTGCGATTAAGCCGCTCCGCCGCTCCATTTTGTTGGGGTGTGTAGGGTGTCGTAACGTCGTGCTTAATGCCCTTGCTCTTCATCCATTTCTCAAGCTCCGCGTTCACGAATTCGCCACCACCATCGGTGCGAATACACTTGATCCGCTTCTTGTCGTCGTCGCAAACTTCGAGCGCCCACTCTTGAATCGCCTTGGCCGCATCTCCCTTAGCCTTCAGTAGTCGGGTCCAACACATCCGCGTCGCGTCGTCGAGCATCACCAAGAGGAACCGCGCTCCTCCCTTTGATGCATGCCGCATCGGTCCACACACGTCCATGTGAACAAGCGCAAGCGGGTCCTTAGCGAGGGGTGACGTTCGGCTACCAAATGGCTTGCGAGCCATTTTTCCTTCGACACACGCCGCGCACACGCCCTTCTCGTCGTCGCCGGCGATCACGTCGACTCCCTTCGCGAGTCCTTTGTTGACCAACTCCTTGACCGAGTCGTAGTTGGCGTGCGCAAGCCGATTATGCCACGCCTTGAGAGTTGCCTTAGAGCCTTGCGCTACGTTGGATGAAGCCATGTTGGATGAAGCCGCTCTCGGGTACGTCTTGAGTTGGTAGATATCTCCGTTGAGAACACCTTGCGCGAATTGCTCCCCCTTCCAAAAGAGGTTCATCTTCGCACCGTCGATGGTGGCGATCACGCCCTTCTTCGCAAGTTGCGGGACGGATAGAAGGTTCACCTTCACCCCCGGGACGTGATGTGTCAAACTATATGTGCTGCATATTGTCTAGGCTGTAGTGGGGTAGCCCATATGGGGTACAACCTAGTTAGGGTTTACTACTTGTACTCCTGCATCCTGTTAGTTCACCCATTCCTGCTGCTAGATTCTAACATGGTTTCAGAGCACTAAGGTCCGTAGGACCGTTTTTTTTTCGGGCCCACCTACCGCTGCGGTTACCGCGCTACCCCACGTAGCCTTGCCTTGCCTTGTATGCCTTGCCTTGCCTTGCCTTGCCTGCGCGCTGCCCCTAGAGGCCCGTAAGGCCCGCGCGCCGCCTCTACACGCCTGTCGGGCCCGCACACACGCTGCTACCGCGCGCTGCCCGCACCGAGATCGCGCAGCCCGCCCCGAGTCGCGCGCAGCCCGCTGCAGCCACGCGCAGCCCGCACCGAGCCGCGCGCAGCCCGCTGCAGCCGCGCGCAGCCTGCACCGAGCCGCGCACAGCCCGCTGCAGCCACGCGCAGCCCGCACCGAGCCGCGCGCAGCTCGCAGCTGCCGCGCGCAGCCCGCGCCGAGCCCGCGCAGCCCGCGTCGAGCCGCGCGCGGCCTGCTACGGCCTCGCGCAGCCCGCGCGCGGCCCGCAGCAGCTCGTGCCGAGCCGCGCGAGGCCTGCTCCTGCCTCGCACGGCCCGCGCGCGGCCCGCTACTCCCTAGCGCGGCCGCGCGCGGCCCTTTGCCTCGGCCCCGACCTGCCGCTGATGCGGCCCCGCCCAGCAGCTGCCATGGCCCCGACCTGCCGCTGATGCGGCCCCGCCCTGCAGCTGCCACGACCCCGACCTGCCGC